GGCCAGAGCCTAAAAGCTTGGTCAAAGAGTTAGGTTTTAAGGACCTTGTTAAAGGAGAAAAGATGTGGAGAGTAAGAGACATACAAGAGTGAAAGTGGAGAGCTTAAGCCTTGCAACTCAAGAAAGAGTGAAGCAATTAAAAGCCAGGGATATACAGAGCCCAGAATAGGTGGTGTGGTGATCTGAAGCAGGGGTGGGGAATGAGAGTGATAGTGGGGGTCCTCTACAAGGGTATGGAGGCTTTGGAGAGAATACAGTAAAGGTTTACCAGGATGCTGCCTAGTTTGGAGGGTATTAGATTTGAACTTGGCTTGTTTTCACTTGAATGTTGGAGGCTAAGAGGTGTTCTGATAGAAGTTTTCAAAATTATGACAGGCATGAATAGAATGGATAGATGGATACCCTTTTATCCCCACAGTAGAAGTGTCAATTACTAAGGGACATAGGTTTAAAGGTAAAAAGGGGAAAGTTAAGTTTTGTTTCATAGAGAGTGATAAGTACCTGGAATGCACTGCTAAAGGTAGTGGTAGATGCAGATACAACATCAATGTTTAACAGGCATCTTGACTGATATGAATAGGCAGGGAAAATATGGATAGGGACAGCGAAGAGACAGAAGGTTTTTAAGTTTAGAAAGGCGCAATGTGTCAGTGCAGGCTTAGTGAGCTACAGGGCCTGTTCCTGTGCCATACTGTTCTTTGTAGGAATCAGATTCATACGGTAATTGATAGTTCTCATTGCAAGATGGGTTCAGAGAAGACATGGCAAAAGATAGGAGAAAAATCAGAAGATGCTTACTTAGAGTTGGTGTATGGGGTAATCCAAGAGGAACCTGGGAGGGAGATGGACATCTGAACAAATAGTATTGATCATCTTAAATAATACAAATACATGAGTTTCTCTCACTTATTATTCAAAATGGCAGTAAAGAGACAAGGGATGGTAGTTTAAGACCAAGTCTGTGGTGAAGAGGAGACACAAGGAGTATAGAGTCGTACAACATGGAAACAGATCCTTCGACCCAACTTATCCATGCGTAGTAGGTTTCCTAAACTGAACTAGTCCCATTTGCCTGCATTTGGCCCAGATCCCTCCATACCTATCTCATCCTTGTACCTCTCCAAATGTCTTTTAAATACTGTAACTGTACTCACCTCTACCACTTCCTCTGGCAACTTGCTCCAAATGCATACCACCCTCTGTGTGAAAAAGTTGCCCCTCATGTCTGTTTTAAATCTTTTCCTTCTTGCTTTAAACCTATGCCCTCTAGTATTGGACTCCCCTACCCTGAGGAAAATACCTTAGCTATTCACTTTATCTATGCCCCGCGTGCTTTTATAAACTTTGTCTTTATGCCTTTACCCAAACCTTTCCTTTAGCTAAATTAAAGGTGTCTTTGCCTTCCTGGATAATCTTTGAATTAATTTAAGCAATGTAAAGCAGCAGCTAACAATGCTTTAGCTTTTCCAGGCAGGTACAGCAACGAAAGGGCTAAACTTTTTGGGACTATGAGAGCTGAAAGACTGTTTTTGTCAGCTTGAAATGTGTGGATGGGTGAAGGTCTCCTATCACTCTAGTCCTCCAGTGCATTTTATTTTCTCACCTTCATCTCAAAGTACTGCAAAAACCAACAAAAAGGGGAAAAAACAAGGAACACAACAGACAAGATCAAAATTCAAGCCAATCTCTTTCCTGTGTGTGTACAATATTTCCTCAAGTGAAATTACGCACAGATTTTATGCAGAAACAAAATGCTGTCACATTGACTGTAATTACACAGACAACACTATGGCACATCAAGATGGTAACATTTGTATATGCATTAATATTTCAGGACTGCTCAGCAAACAACTGGCAAGGGGGAAATCTAAACATGGAGGATTGTAACATCATACCATATTTCTTCCCCACCCAAATTTTACAGCAACTTTTAAAATTTACTTTTCTATACTAAAAGCAGGACTTGTGTTTGGGTTTGGAGCTATACATATAGCTACTGTCCTCGAGGTTAAACTTGACCAAGTTTCCGATGTTTATGTGCATGTATCAGCAGGCTCTTCAGCTCTAGGTTTTATCCACCTTTTAGACATTGATATTTCCTTGATCAGAGGCAGAAATAATTTATCTTCTCACCCAGGGGTACTGAAACTAGCTAGCTTTCTGCCTGTTGCCTAACTTGGATCAGCAACATTATTAAGGAATATGACTTGAGGTTGAATGTAGCGTATTCACTCATAGAACTAATAGAGAAAGATGGGGTTGGGGGCACAAAGGGAAGAACTAGTTTCTACCATGTGACACAGCTCTTAGTAGCTCAATTCAGACGTTAAAACCTGATAATGGAATGATAGCAGACAGTCCTACTGCTGGGTGGCTAACACCAAGTGTTGGTCCATCTCCGGAGTGTGTCAAAGACTTCAGACTAGAGGAGGGGTATGAAACCATTAAACAGAAAAAATGACATCAATAGTTGGATGATAATCCTAGAGTTATCCCATAGCCTGTGCAACCTAGAAGAGTGATACACCTGCTGTACTGAACAAATCAACAAAATGCTCTAACATTAAGTGATCAATGATGATATCACAGCATGAGAAGGCGGTGCCTTCATACCAAACTTGTGGTAAAATTTTACAATTTCCTACGTTCTGCAACATCAGGTAAGGTATAGCTTTGTTTTCGATGGGAAAAAATTTACTAAGGAAGAAAAGTACAAGCAAGGGGCTGGTGATAAAAATAAAGGAAAACTGCTACAAGCATTTACACAAGCAACACAGCAAAATTTAGTACCCCGCCTCCAACAAAAAATCTTTGCTTCAGTTTGCAGTTTTCTTCCCTGCTACCCTGAACAAACTGTTGTTGGCTTGAAATTGCATGAAGGCACACTCAAGTGCTTTCCTTATTCTACATGTTTAGCTTTGTGGGGAATGATAGCAGCCATTTCAACCATATTCAAAATCATCCCACGTTTATCTGATTTTTGTATTTCAGAAAAACATCTGGTGCAGATGTCAACAGTGGTGATTAGCAGGAGCAGGAAGAGGGATGTGGTCTTACTGTGAGAACTTAAGAAGCTCGATAGGAAACTAGCAAGCAGGACCTCAAATACGGTAACTTTGGATCACTCCTAGTACCATGGGCAAGTGAATATAGAAATAGGAGATAAAGTAGTTTAATGTATGGCTGGAAAGGTAGTGCGGGGGTGGGGGCTGTGTAGAGAGAGGCGGTTTACATTGCTGGGATATCAGGACCAACTCAGGGGAAGATTGGACTTGGAATAGCTACATGGGTTGCATCTAAACTGAACCAAGAACAAGATCTTTGTGTGGCAATTTCCCAGTGCAACTGGGAAGGGTTTAAACCACTTGACAAGCATTGAGAGAATCAGAAAGTAACACCAAAGAGGAATACTGCGGAAAACAGAATACCGGAAAAGAGAAAGCACACTGCAGCAGGAAACAGTATGTTGTTATACAGATTCAGAGCGAGGGGGAAAATTAAGAAAGTCCAAATTTCAGTGCCCGTAAATGAATCCAGTGTGGTAAATAAGACTGGTGAGTTACAGGTGCAGAATGTCACGTGGAAATACGAATGTTGTGACTATCCCAAAGGAGGCCAGGACTCAACCGTGAATAAACTCAAAAGATCCAGTCCCTTCAACTTTGCTAGGATGAGAGTTTCACATCTTCATGACTTCAGCGAAAACAAATTCTCCCCATCTCTTTCTTAAAAGAGAAGCATCTTATTTTTAAAGAAGATTTTAGTCTCCTTCATAAAGAGGAAATATTCTCTGGGTATCTATCCTATGTAATGCCCTCAACATCTTGCAATTCCTTGATTCACACATGATGGAGGGTATTTTCAAAGTGCAGGCAGGACAGCGTCTCCACAAGAACTGTGTGGTGGTCACTCCTACCAATACGGTCATGGGCAGATCACCTGCAGCTGGCATACTGGTGAGGATGAGGTCAAGTATATTTTTTTCCTCGTTAGTTCCCTCACCACCGACCATCAACCCAGTCTAGCAGCAATGTTCTTTAGTGCCCAAGCAGCATAAACCAAAATGCTGCTCCTTGAGTTACTCTTGGAGATGCACATTGAGATCCCCCACCCAGAGTACATTCTGCTCCCTTCTGACCTTCAGTGCTTCCTCTAAGTCTTGTTTGACACGGAGTACTGATTTGTCAGCCAAGGGAGGACGGCACATGGTAATCAGCAGGAGGTTCCCTTAAGGATGTCTGACCTGTTACTTGATGGAGACTTCACACGGTCTGGAGTCAGTGTTGAGGACTCTCAGGGCAAACCTCTCCTTAAATGTATACCACTCTACCACCATCTTTTCTGGACTTGTCCTACCAGGGATGGTGATGGCAGAGTCTGGGATATTGTCCAAATGTTAGTAAGGAGAACTGGACAGGGTTGACAGATCTTTTTGGTCATTGTCATTTCCAGTGCCTAGGTTGATGCCAGATGGTCTGACTGGTTTCTTTTTGAGACTTTCTATTGATTGTTACAACTGAGCAGCTTGCTAGGCCAAAATATTCATCCAACAATTCAATTACATTCCTGACTGGAATACCATGAACAGTTTTGGACCTCATCTCAGGAAAGTCAAACAGCATTGGGGACAGTCCAGAGAAGGTTCACTAGGCTGATCCTGGATATGGAGAGACTGTGCTAGGAGGAGAGATTAAGGATGCTGGGCCTGTATTCATCAGAGAATGAGAGGCAACCTCACTGAAATATACAAGATTCCTAGGGAGATAACAAGGTGTAGAGCTGGATGAACACAGCAGGCCAAGCAGCATCAGAGGAGCAGGAAGGCCGACGTTTTGGGCCTAGACCCTTCTTTCTGAAACAAGATTCCTAGGGAACTTGACAGGACAGAAGATTGGGAAAAGATTATTTCCCATGGGAGAGTTTATGCCAATTAACAGAGATAAGGAGGAATTTTTTTTTCTCAGAGTCTAGTGAATCTGCAAAATTCTTTACTGTAGATGGCTGTAGAGACTTGGTTGTTAAGTATATTAAAGCTGAGATTGACAAAATTTTAATCAGTAGGAGAATCGAGGGTTATGAGGCAAAAGCAAGAAAGTGGAGTTGAGGATTATTATATCACCAATGATCTCATTAACTGGTGCAGCAGACTCAATAGGATGAATGGCCTATTTCTGCTATGTCTTATGGAATATTGCAGATGTGCAGAGGATGAGTCATTGTATGAATACCTTCTAGCATTTTCTATCAGGTAATCGCGGGATACTGCTCATTTCCTGCTGTAGATTGTCATGGGCTGTTCCATTATTGTTGGAATTGTTACTGATGCAGAACACTTGAGTCATCAGCAAACTGATATTATGCTGGAAGGAAGATTAATGAAGAATTGGCTAGAACCCTGTACCAGGGATACAATGATTGGTTGCCAACAATCCAGTGCATGTTCTCTTGTGCCATGTCAACACCTGGAAGGTTTTCGTCTTAATGATCACTAAATTTATTTTGCCTAAAGTTCCCTGGTACAGGTACCATACTTCAGGACACTGTCAAGTAATAATGCAGAGGAGAAATCAGACAGATAAAGAATCAGTAGTTGGCTGAGGGCAAAATGTTACCTCGAAATCCCTTTGATTAAAAGGAAGATTCAAAGAATTAACAAAAGGATAAATTGGGACAGAAATAGAAAGGAGTGTAGAAGCATGGGAGCAAAGGTTTTGTGGTGCAGAAGTAGGCCATTCAAAACCGTCAGTTACATTAGAGGCTGATCATCTCAGCTGACATAACTGCAATCCTCCTTTCTCAGATGGTGTGTAAAAAGTACACACTGTAGCCAGGGCAGTTGAGAATATGGATACCTAAGCCAGTACCAGATCATAACCTAGAGAGCAAACGATTCCAGAGTAGCATTGAGTTTCTTGATGACAAAGGCCAAAAGTAACTTCTCTATCTTTATGCTTCCTTCTTGCTAATTGCAAGTGGTACATGCTCTTGGAAGCCCATAAGGCAACTGGAGATAGGGTGGGACAGAAATAATTATTTCTACATGTATCGTTGGTAAAGACACCATTCATGAGCTAAATTAGGTAACATTTGGTAGGTCAGTCAATTTCAGCTGGGTCATGATTGGGACAATACATTTAGTCTTAACACCCTTTAATTAGGTGGTTAAGGAAATGAAAAAACACATTGCCCACAGTCCCAATCACTTTTGATTGCTGGAAGTGCATCTGAGGGGATTTTAGCAGGAGGTGAGATACCAAAGAGTCAGCAACACCATCTGTGAAACCACAGATCCAGCATGGGCCATCAATAACCTTAAGGGAGAACGAAAAGATAGGAAAAAACATGGAAAGGTGGCAGAGCAAAGATTATGCAAACTTGGAGAGTCAGAAGAACACGTCCCAGAGCTTACTCTCAGCTTGTGCGATCAGTTGGTGGCTTGTTAAAGCCACAGCTCAGCTACCCTTCCTCTCCCTCACCTTCACATTGCCTCCTCCCGGAGTATGGTTGAGGTTGTCCAAGGATCCAATTTTTGACTCTGCTTTGTTCTTGAAATCAGTCTTGGTGGTCTCTATCTTCACATCCCCACCACCTAAATAATGTTAAGCAAAAATTAATTTTGTGAATAACTTTTTTACTCTTCACCGTGACTGTAAGGTTCAGACAGATTGTGTTGTAAAGGGGAAGGTGGGAAAGAGAGGGGGCGCAATGGAAAGTGTGTGTTTGGGAGATGGAGAGATGAACTCAATTTACACCGCCCGCATCATTATTGCACCTTTTCAAATAAATTATATTTGAAGGGCATAAAAACACTTTGCCTTAGTTGGATCCCAGAATATCTGATAAAACAATCAACTTGAACTTGTTTTGTTGATGTTGACAAGTGAGGAATGTTGTCTAGTACACTACAAAAAATGCCCTGCACTCAGAATAGAATCATATAATCCTTACAGTGTGGAAGCAGGTCTTTCAGCCCATTGAGTCCACACCAACGCTCTGAAGATTATCCCATCCAGACCCATCCCCTGCCCCATCCCCGCATTTCTCACCTAGACATAATGGGCAACTTAGCACAGCCAATCCACCTAACCTGCATATCTTTGGACTGTGGGAGGAAACCGGAGCACCTAGAGGAAATCCACGCAGGTACAGGGAGAATATGCAAATTCCACACAGACCCGAGGCTGGAATCGAACCTGGGACCCTGGAGCTGAGAGGCAGCAGTGGTAACCTCTGAGCCACCGTGCCATCCCACTCCTTCAAATTAACTGATCGAACAGCCAAATGGGGTCCGAGTTTTATTTTACATTCAAAGGAAAACATCTTAAATAATAGAAGAATCCCAAGAATCCCAAAGCAAGGTTTTGACAAGGCAAACAATTTAGCACTCAAATCAAAATTGATGTAAACCTATACCTGCTCCAACATAGTATACCATGTTACAGATGCCTACTGGTTGATTACATAAAACTATCATCCACTGTGGCTCTAAATTATACAAACTAAGGTGGCTAATTTTGAGCCAAAATCTGTGCAAATGAGCTAACCTACAAGTTAGCAGGTAAGCAATATCAATGTACCTAGAGTGTCAGGGACAATCTCAACAAGGAGACCGGTTGAGAAATGCATGTGAGAAAAGTATGCCTGTACTGCTTTTCATGCAGTCAAATCTCATCTTGATCTTAGTTTCACGTGATTTGTTCTTCGTTGAAGTAGCCTATTATTTTAGTCAAAACCAGCATCCTAAGGAGAGGTGAGTGTGATTGGAAAACAAAGACTTCTATTAGTGAAGAGATATATTTTGGTTTAGGAAAAATAAACAGCCAGTGCTAATGTCTCCGTTCTAGATTCCATCTGTAATATTTTTCACATTGCTCGAGTAGAATGAAGACAAACAGGTCTTTCCTCAAATTCCTTAACCAGAAGCTTAACATTATTTAAAAAAAGAGACAGACCAGGAAATTATAGGCCACTCAGTCTAACCTCATTGGTGGGGAGATTATTTGAAAGAATTCCAAGGGCAAAATATATCTGCACTTGGAGAGAAAAGGATCAATTAGAGATAGCCAGGCGAAGTTGTACATTGGATACAAACTTAGCCGTGAGCAGGAAGCAGAGGACGATAGTAGAGAGGTATGCGTGTGACTGGGAGTCTGTTTCCAGTGGGTTTCCAGAGGGTTTACTGCTTGCGGTGTATATTAATAATTTGGACTTAAACATAGATGGTATGATCGTGCAGTTAGCAGATGACACAAAAAAATGGTAGGACAGTTAATAGAAAGTAGGATAGTAGTAAAGTATGGAGCATATCAATAAATTGCTCAGCTGGGCAGAGCAGCGGCAAGTCGAATTCAACCTGGAAAAATGTAAATTTGTGGGGAGGGCTAACAAGGCAAGGAATTGTATTATGAATTGTAGGACCCTGAAAAAGTACTGAAGATCACAGGGACTCTGGTGTATATATCAACTGATCACTGAAGCTATCAGGGCAGGTAGATATGATGGTTAAGGCAGCATATGGGATACTTTCCTGCATTAGCCGAGGCACAGAAGAGCAAGACGGTTATGGCATAACTGTATAAAATGTTGGTTCTGAAATATTGCACGCAGGTCTGGTGACCACATTATAGAAAGAGTGTGACTGCATTAGAGATGGTGCAGAGAAGATTTACCAGGATGCTGCCTCAGCCAGAGGGTCTGAACTATGAGGGACCCAACAGTAGTGAATAAGAATGAGAGACATAACTAATTAAATAACCAACCTGCTATTCCATTCATAGACAAGTCAATAACCAGAGGGCACAGATTTAAGGTAAGAGGTAGAAGGCGAAGTGGAGAGTGGAGGAGAAATGTTTATACTCAGAGGGTGGTGGGAGTCTGGAACTGACTGCCTGAAAGAGTAGTTGACTCAAGCTCTTTAAACAGCATTTAGATATTCATTTGGTTGTCACAGTTTACAAGCTATAGACCAAAAGCTGGAAAATTGGATTTGTAGTTAGATCTTTGTTGCAACCATGTGGACGTGATGTGTCAAATGGCCTCCTTCTGTGCTGTGAATGTCCAAGACTCTGATCAGAGTCTCCTAAACATGATTATGGGAGTGAGTTGCATGATCAGCTATGTTTTGGAAGAGATATTAAATCAAGACCAGGTAAAACCCCATAGCTCTGGCCAAGAGAGCTCTCCAAGCCATTTCTTCCGTACATTTGTCACCAATGATGTCATTGAACTCAGAGCTACGTTTTGAATTTTATATGGGATAGATACCTATATTTGTCTGCAGAACAGTAAATGAACAGTAAACGCAAATTCCAAGTACATACAAACATGTAATTGAGGAGGACTAGGCCATTCAGCACCTCGCTTCTTCTGCTTTCACCTACTTGCTGAAGAATCTACCCACCTCTGCCTTAAAAATATTCAAAGACTGTAAGTCTCTCCATGCAAAGACTCATGACTCACGGAAAGTTTCACCTTATCTATATTTTAAATGGGTGAACCCTGATTATTAGTGACCCTAGTTCTAGATTCTCTTATCCGAGGAAACATTCAGCCCACATCAAACCTATCAAGACCGCATAGGCTCTTGTACGCTTTAATTAAGTCACCTCTTACTCGCCAACAGATATGATTCCTAATATGCAAAATTTTCCTCATAAAACAGCACAGCCCCATTCCAGGTATTGGTGTAGTAAGCCCTCTCCAAACTGCCTCCAACACACTTACATCTTTCCTCAAATACATTAACCAATACTATGTACAGGACTCTGGATGGGGTCTCAGCAATGCCCTGTATAACATGAGGCATAATCTCCCTATTTTTGCATTCAATTTCCCTTGCAAAAAATCATAACATTCTATTAGCTTTCCTATTTACTTTCTGTAACTGCATAATAATCTGCAATTCACGTACAAGAACACCCAGATCCCTATTCATTTCAGAGCTCAGCAATCTCTCATCATTTAGATAAGATGCTGCTTCTTTATTCTTCCTGCTAAAATGGACAATTTCACATTTTCCTACTTTATATTTCATTAGCTGTATTTTTTACCCATTCACTTAGCTGATGTGTATCTTTTCGTAATCTGCTTGCGTGTTTTTCTCATCTTTCTTTCCTACTTATCATTGTGTCATATATGTACGAAAGATATGATCAGATCTTGCTTAAATGCAAGGTTTTGAATATATTCATCTTAACAGTACCTGCTTTGTGTTTTAGATTTGTCTTGGATCCACACTTTGATGATGCACGGCTCACATCCAGCTTAGTTTTTGGAATCTGCACCTAAAAATTAAAGAGTTTAAGAAATGCAATCGTATCAATGCTTCACTATCTCTAAAACGAAGGGGAAATGAGAGTCATGTCAGCTAATGATGTACTTCATCAAATATTAAACTACAGAATGTTAAACCATAATATTAGCTTCCAATTAAAACAAGAAACTAGGCCCTGGGGATAAAGAATTAAACCAATCAGGAATTACATTTTTACCCAAAAATTGATGCATGTTTGAATAATTTATCAAATGATGTACTGGCATTAAAAACACTGCAGTCAAATTATGATGGAAAAATAAATGCACAAGAAAGATTGGCTTTCACAAGTTGTTCCTGAACAAAAATCTATCCACTTCTGCCTTAAAAATATTCAAGAATTCGGATGAAAAGTCACTGGATTCGAAACTGTAAATTTGGTCTCTCGCCAGATATGCTTCCAGATCAGCTGCAATTTCTGTTTTTATTTTGACTTTCACAATATGGGTACAGTTGAAGGCGTAAAAGTAGTATGGTTACTGGGCCAGTAATTTAATATGGCTGGATTCAAATCCCACCATTTGAATCCAGTTAAAGTAAGTTGAGTCAGTATAGAGACAATGGAGCTGTCCGATTATCATGAAAATACAACTGGTTTGGTAAATCCTTTAGGGAAAAACCTAATCTGGATCATGTGACTCCAGTGCCAAAACAATGTGACTGACATTGGCTAAGCCACCAGTGGTTTAGCAGATCACTCATATGCTTCAAGCTGAAAGTTAGCCCACTGCTTTCTTCTCGGGGTAATAAGACACAGACAATAAATGCTGACCTTGTCAGTGTCAGACACACCCTGAGAACTAATTTTTAAGAAGTCTTAATGACTTCCGCACACCAATGAATCCAACCTGTATTCTTAACGTGGTGCCAGGGTAATTGTTTCTCAATGAAATTGCTCTTGTGCAGCTAGTTAGAGTGCTTGAATGAATTCAGGAAATTTCACTTGAGCTGAAAGTGTCTTGTGGTGGAGTGGTAGTGTCCCCCCTCCCCAGGGCCAGAAGGCCTGGGTTCAAGTCCCACCTGGCCAAGTATTGTAACATGCCCAAACTGGTTGGTTAAAATTATCTACACTTAAGGTAAGACCGAAATCCAGGACTTAATAGCTCTCAACCCACTATGTAAACCTGAAAAAGAGTAGATAATTGGGTCAGAGATAGTAGGAACTGCAGATGCTGGAGAATCCAAGACAACAATGTGCAGGGCTGGATGAACACAGCAGGCCAAGCAGCATCATAGGAGCAGAGAGGCTGACGTTTCAGGCCTAGACCCTTCATCAGAAAAGGGGGAGGGGAAGGGGGTTTTGAAATAAATAGGGAGAGAGTGGGAGGCGGATAGAAGAGGGATAGAGGAGAGGATAGGTGGAGAGGAAACAAACAGGTCGAAGAGGCGGGGACGGACCCAGTAAAAGGTGAGTGTAGGTAGGGAGTTAGGAAGGGGATAGGTCAGTCCAGGGAGGACGGACAGGTCAAGGGGGCGGGATGAGGTTGGTCGGTAGGAGATGGAGGTGCGGCTTGAGGTGGGAGGAGGGGATAGGTGGGAGGAAGAACAGGTTAGGGAGGCAGGGACGAGCTGGACTGGTTTTGGGATGCGGTAGGGGGAGGGGAGATTTTGAAACTTGTGAAATCCACATTGATACCATTGGGCTGCAGGGTTCCCAAGCGGAATATGAGTTGCTGTTCCTGCAACCTTCGGGTGGCATCGTTGTGGCACTGCAGGAGGCCCAGGATGGACATGTCGTCTGAGGAATGGGAGGGGGAGTTGAAATGGTTCGCGACTGGGAGGTGCAGTTGTTTGTTGCGAACCGAGCGTAGGTGTTCTGCAAAGCGGTCCCCGAGTCTCCGCTTGGTTTCCCCGATGTAGAGGTAGCCACACCGGGTACAGCGGATGCAGTATACCACATTGGCAGATGTGCAGGTGAACATCTGCTTGATGTGGAAAGTCTTCTTGGGGCCTGGGATGGGGGTGAGGGAGGAGGTATGGGGGCAGGTGTAGCACTTCCTGCGGTTGCAGGGAAAAGTGCCGGGTGTGGTGGAGCTGGAGGGGAGTGTGGAGCGGACAAGGGAGTCACGGAGAGAGTTGTCCCTCCGGAAACCCTGCAGCCCAATGGTATCAATGTGGATTTCACAAGTTTCAAAATCTCCCCTCCCCCCTCCACATCCCAAAACCAGTCCAGCTCGTCCCTGCCTCCCTAACCTGTTCTTCCTCCCACCTATCCCCTCCTCCCACCTCAAGCCGCACCTCCATCTCCTACCGACCAACCTCATCCCGCCCCCTTGACCTGTCCGTCCTCCCTGGACTGACCTATCCCCTTCCTAACTCCCTACCTACACTCACCTTTTACTGGGTCCATCCCCGCCTCTTCGACCTGTTTGTTTCCTCTCCACCTATCCTCTCCTCTCCGCCTCCCACTCTCTCCCTATTTATTTCAAAACCCCCTTCCCCTCCCCCTTTTCTGATGAAGGGTCTAGGCCCGAAACGTCAGCCTCTCTGCTCCTATGATGCTGCTTGGCCTGCTGTGTTCATCCAGCCCTGCACCTTGTTGTCTTAGATAATTGGGTCAACAAGTTCAAATGAATACAGGTGTTAGAGTTTAGAGCTGCAGAGAATGGGCCTTAATGCTGTGGAAAGCAGGGTCTGTATTTAACACTCTTTCAGAAAATAAGAAAATTACAGTCACCAGGGAACTGATTCTGAGCAAATTGCTGGAGCTGCGTGCTGACAAGTACAGAGTATTGATGGATTTCATCCAAAGGTCTTAAAAGAAGTGCTATTAAGATAGCTTAGGCATTGGCTTTAAATTTCCATAACTCCCTACAGTTGAAGCAAGTCCTATTAGATTGGAAAAGAGCAAAAGTAACTCCTTCAATCAAAAAGGGAAAGAGACAAAATCGAGAACTACGGGCTAATTAGCTTAACATCAGCAGAGGGAAGATTTCTGAAACTATTATTAAAGATGGTAGAGCATAGGACTTGGATAAGTTCAAGACATTCAGATGCAGGTTTTGTGAAGGGAAATCATGATTAATTAATTTAATGTAGAGTTATTTGAGAAAGTAACATAGCTTGCAATGAAAGGAACCAGTGGATGGCACTTGATAAGGGGCCACAACAAAAATTATTGCTGAAAATAAAGCCTTGTGGTGTCAGAGTCACATATTGGCATGGAAAGATGACTCACCAGCTAACAAGAAATGAAGAGTAGACATAAATGAGTCATTTTCTAGTTGGTAAGATGTAACAAACGAGTCGCACAGGGATCAGCGCTGAGGCCTCAACATTTCACAATTTATATACATGGCTTGGATGAAGAGACTAAAAGTATGGCTCCTAAACTTGCTGAATATGCAAATATAGGCAATAGTGCACGTATGAAAAGCTAAAACAGAACATAGGTTAAGCGTGTGGGCAAAGATTTAGCAACTGCCGCATAATATGGCACAAAGAATAAAGAAGAATGTTATCTAAATGGTGAGAGATTGCAGAGCTTGGGAATGCCGACGGATCCGGGTGTCCCGCAAAAGGTTAATTAAAAAAAGTACAGCAAGTAATTAGGAAGTCTAACAATGTTATTGTTTACTGCAAAAAAAAAAAGAAATACAAAAGTGAAGGTACGCTTTAGTTAAACAGGACAACGTGAGGCAATATCTGAAGTATTGCGTACAGTATCTGTCTCCTTACTTAAGGATGGATGTAAATTCATTAGTAGCAGCTCACAGAAGGTTTACTTATATTAATGTCGGTGCTTTTATGTAATATTATCACTAGGTGGAGTACCACATGCACATGTGTAGAATTGGATGTTGAATATCTATGTCATCACAATGCTGCAGTTTGCCTGTTAAAATGGTGGTGCTACTCAATATATTCATAGGGTGGATGCTCTGGAGACCCCTCAGCAATGTTAAATATTCTAACCATAAAGATTTTACTGCTCTGGAATACGTGATTAGAGCCTGCCAGCCACCCCATAGCAGTTACTATTATATCATTTGAACACAAATGCAACAGTTTCATGAAATTACATTTTATAGAGGTTCATAGAATCCCTACAGTGTGGAAACAGGCCCTTCGGCCCAACAAGTCCACACCGATCCTTGGAGCATTCCACCCAGACCCATCCCCCTATAACCCACACACCCCTGAACACTACGGGCAATTTAGCATGGCCAATCCACCTAGCCTGCACATCTTTGGACTGTGGGAGGAAACCGGAGCACCCGGAGGAAACCCACACAGACACGGGGAGAACGTGCAAACTCCGCACAGACAGTCACCCAAGGCTGGAATTGAACCCGGGTCCCTGGCGCTGTGAGGCAGCAGTGCTAGCCACTGAGTCACCATGCCTTTTGGAATCAAATTGCTAGGATTAGTTAACAACTTCACTATTAATCTTAACACCACCACAATAATAGAAGATGATTAAACTTGGCTCTCTTTCTCAGCCAACAATATCTCCGTGCCTAAATTGAGCATTAATTTAATCAGGGTTAGGTCTTGAATCGATACAAATAACCATTCAGGTAATGGAGGGGCTGCATGATATTTTGCTGAAAGTTCTCTAGGATGTCGCATCAGTGGCGATGGATTTAGATCAGTGAGCAAATCTCAGACGTGAGTTAATTTGTTGGTTTATTTGGCATTCAGAGCCCCAGGTATCCTATTTGACAGTGATCATTATCTTGGAATCTCAGCTTATTCTTTATTGTAGGTGAAGTCATCCACACATGTACAGGGGCATACTTGCTACCGAGACTGACATCACCTGAGCTCCATCATGCATGCGCAAACTGCTCCCAACTACCATCATTAACAGTGCATTGAGATTACACACTTCGCACCTGGAATGTGTGGGTCGTCCTATGGGGAAAGGCTGGCAGGCTAAGTTCTTATCTGCTGGAGTTTGAAAGAAGAGGTGACTTGATTGAAACATGGAAGATCCTGAGGTGTCTTGACATTTGGATGTGGAAAGGAAATTCCTCTTCTGAGAGAATCTAGAACTAGGGGATCACTGTTTAAAAATAAGGAGTCACCCATTTAAGACAGATGGAGAAATGTCTTCTTACAGAGAGTCATGAGTCTTTGGAATTCTCTTCCTCAAAGGCAGTGGAAGCAGAATTATTAAATATTTTAAAGGCAGTTTTATGAATGATTCCTCATAACAAAGGGGATGAAAGGTTATCAGAGATAAGTTGGAAATGTAACATTGAGTATTCAGATTAGTGATGATCTTCCTAAATGGCAGAATATGTTCAAGGGAATGAGCAGCCTAATCTTTCTCCGAATTTGTACATTTGTACGGCCCTAACCAGCAGGTTTGAAGGTAGGGGCCTTGGACAGCTGTTGCCAGTTGGGCAATAGATCGTCTTAAGTGTGCAGTTTCCCACGTAAGGATCTCCTTCTGCTGTCACAGGGATTTAACAGCTGATGGGAGAAGCACAGGCTGAACATCGTAGCATTGAAAAGACAGGTAGCCCTTGAGAGGACAAGGATGGAATCCACTTTGTTAGAGTTAAGAATCAAGGAACTAAGGTCATGTGAATGGAGACATTCTAAAGGTCAACAGGTACAAAGAAAAGCAAAAAATCTGCTGGAAAATCATGCAAGAAAAATGGAGTGGTGATATGGAGGGACTTTTATCGCTCAAACAGTGACCAGGATAATATTAAAGAAAAGGAATTTCTTAAATGTGCTCATGAAAATCTCTTTGCCACTATGTTCAAATGGAATGGAGGCATTGCTGACTCTGTCGCTGGGAAATGAGGTGGGATAAGTGGACCAAGTGTCTGTGGCAACTACATGGACCCTGAGGAAGGGACCCTAACTTTAACTGATTTCTATCTGCTGATGCTGCCAGACTGGCTGAGCTTTTCCAGCAATTCCTGTTTTTGTTTGGATGGCAGCTCCTTTTCTCTGAAGGACATAATCAACTCACCAGTAATAATACTTAGTCAATTTACACTTGCTTTGGTGTGATTTGAATTCAGGATCTTTAGCTTATTGCTAATCTTCCAAAAGTAGCATTGTTATCAAATTCAGTCATTTATTTTTCCTCCTTGGGTACTGCTGCTCAACTGAGCAATGACAATGCTGGAGTTAGTTCCCATCAGCAGCAAATTCCTCTGAATCACCGTTCTCCTCTGTGAATTTAAAGTAAATCACTGTCTGAAATAAATGCATTCAGTGGCGGCTGATCTTATCCCCACAAACAATTTCCCAGCAAGAGACGGCAGTGCACCAAGTAGTAATGTCCCCGCACAGCTAACATAACCATGATTAGCTTACTCAACGTGAATAAGGCATCCAGAGACTTTGTTGCCTACTACATTAATATGTGTTATTCACTACCCCATAATGCAGCGGACACCAGGACACAATAAGTTTGAGGGGGGGGGAAAACAGGCAGATTTTTAATTCGTATAGGTCAAGGGGTTATTGGGAGCGGGCAGGAAAGTAGAATTGATGCTAAGGTGAGATCAGACATGACCAATTAAATGCTGTGCACACTCGAGAGACTGAACTGCCTATTTCTATCCCTAGTTTTTATGTACTTCTCTCTTCTTTCCAGGCTGCTCCCCTAGAGACAAACTGTTTGAATCCAAAGTAATCAAAAGTGAAGAAAATTACTTTTGGATGCAGACATTTTAAAAGGCACCGGTAAGATTTAACAGGTTATCTTCGCCATGTCCTCACCCTGTTAATGCAATTGCATCATAACATACAGCAGCTAGGCATGGAAATATAACGTCGTTGTATTTTAGTAGAACAGCAAATTTAAACCATGTCTTTGTGGAATACTTGCGTGTATACCACATAGCGTTGGTATCATAAATGTAAGCCTCTGCTCCTATTAATTTATTAATATTTAAGAGGATACATAGCACAGAAAGCAGCAAATTATCCCTATGCTGAATTTTTAGAAGAGCTATTGATTGGAACAGATTCAAATTAAGATTTATAAGGCCATAACACGCGGGAACAGAAGTAGGCCATTCAGCCCATTTAGTCTGATCCACCACTCAATGAGAACATGGCTGATCTGATAATTCTCAAAACTATTTTCTTGCCTTTTCAGCATAACCCTTGATTCCTTTACTGATTAAAAAACCTGTCTGAATGACCAGTCTCAGCCATGCTCTATGGTAAAGAATTCCACAGTTTCACAACCCTCCGAGAAGGAATTTGTCCCCATCTTTGTTAAAGTGCCCTTACTCTGAGCTTATGCTCTCTGGCCCTAGACACTCTCAACAAGGGGAAACAACCTTTCCACATCTACCCTGTCAAGTCCTCTAAGAATTTTGTATGTTTCAATAAGGTCGCCGCTTATTTGTTTATATTCTGAGAAGCACAGGTCCAACCTACTCAACCTTTCCTCATAGGACAGTCCATCCCATATTGGTAAATAGCCACGTGAATCTCTCTCGACTGTCTCCAATGTCAGTATCTCTTTCCTTATATAGGTGGCTCAAACTGTTCACAGTATTCTAGCTGTGGACTGACTAGTGCCTTGTACAATTTTAGCAAAGCCTCCCTACTTTTATATTCCATTCCCTTTGAAATAAAGGCCAATCGTTTGCCTCACCTATTAATCACCAGGACCAAAGGCAGTTTCTTCCAGACTGCCAGGCCCATAAAATCTAACAAAGTAAGCGATGGTAAGGAAGAAATACAAGACTTAATGAGCTGGACTGGCAGAGTTCAAGGACTGCACGTGCCCAAGAGGCTGTAAACTGGACATTTACCCAACATAAAGTGATTTCTTCCATGTCAATTGGAACTATGCGAAAACATCAACTGTAGACTTTGTCTTTTCAAACTTGTGCTATGTCTGTCAGGGATGATACCTGAAGTTGTACAATATTAATGCACGGCACAAATCCCTTATTAACAGTGTTTGCTATGGCAATTAATGAGTTAATTTGTCTGCTACACATCTTGGGAAAATCTTATAACACTTTCCTACATAATAATGGTACTAGTAAACCAAATAAACGTAGTGACAGCAATGAAAAGGAAGTTCGTGTAAAAATCCCAGAAGCCAATACTTACATTACCACCACCAGGAACATGCTTAATGTTATCCTTAGAACCACACTTTGACTGCACGTGACTGTAGTCGATTTTTTTGTTCACAATCTGGACCTAAGACACATTGGAACAAATCAATTTAAGAGCCGTTTCCTTTATAATAAATAATTCAAAAGTTGTTTTTGAATTTTCTGTACAGGACATATACAGGTCACTTTAAATAAATGTTAACATTTATGTAGAGAAAAAAAAAATCAGTTCATTTAAGCCGGTAATACAATCATATCAACCGCTGTCTCAGTTATAAGACATCATTCTGTGCATTACCAGAAACAGAAATATCATAACTTTTTTTTAATAAAAAGAACATGCAAAGTGACGTCAGCAAAGTTCAAAAATTGAAACATGGACAACAGTTTAAAAGCATATTTTATCCAATTATTCATGTTTAAACTGCCCCTCCCTGTTCATGTCCCGACTTCTGAAAACAGCTCTCTAGCTATTCAAGGTTCAGGAGCCTTTGTTCCATTGCTAGTTTCAGCCCAACGACCTGATACATTTTAAAATAGCTGGAGTGTGAACCATTACAGTACGTCAATTAAGACCCCTCCGCATTACAGGTCTTCCATTGCATTTTGTTAGCAAGAAAGGTTCTTTGGTGTTGCATTCTAGTGATACTAATCATTTAATGAGATGTAAGAGAGTGTGTGTGTGTGTGTGTGTGTGTGTGTGTGTGTGTGTGTGTGTGTG